TCGCCATTGGTGTGTGTGCTTGCGTGTGCATGCGTGTGTGTGTGTGTATGAGAAACAAGTTGTAAAGCACTTTGCAGAATCTAGCGAAGATTAAAAGGTGCTTTGTAAGTGTGGACAATTAATCATATTAGGTCAATGATGGAATAAGGAATGCCTCTGTCAAAGGCCAGATTTTAATCCAATTCAAATTTTGTTTAGGGATTTGACTGAAATGTCCAGTACATGCAAGAAACCCCTCAAGCTGAAGAAATTTTGCATGGAAGAATTCTCAAAAATTTCAGCAACCCAATGTTTTAATAGTGGACAATAATGTAAAATGCAAACAAGGCATGGAGACGATGCTACAACAATGTTTCTGTGGCCAAAGGTGTAGTGAATGGTCCTGTGGAAAAGTAATGTCTACTTATATTTTTGTTGATTAAATTATTGAAAAAGGACATTTTCTATGTGATCGTATAAGTATGTCACATTTGTCTGACGGCATCAGTTCAATTAATTTTGGTTGTATTTATATAGCGCCAATTCACAAACGTTACCATCTCCAAGCACTTCATGTAGCAGAGTGAACACACAGGTCAACAAATCCAAACAGTTTGATTATAACACTTCCTTGGTGACAATGGGAGAAAAAAAATGCCTTTAAGAGGAGGAAACTTCTGATAATATCAAAGAGGATCAAATGTTTTCTCGTCCAAATAGGTCAAAAAAGCCAAAAGTTTCCTTTTGATATTCTTACTTTTCACATGACTGTATGTGTGTGGGTCTGCATTTAATATGGTTTTTATGAAATAACGTTGTTGGGCAATGAGTCAAGATTAATGACAGAGAACCTTTGTGAAGAATTGGTTAACATTTCTTTGTTTTAAAAACACTGGAAAGGTTTATCATCACTGTGGTTTCTTCTGTCCATATGAGCCATGATGAGATCTCTTAAGGTCATTTATCAGAATCAGAACTTTATTGTCATTGCACATGTCACAAGTACAGAGCTGTGAATTTAGCTGAATTAGGTGTAATCACACTCATTCTGTGCAAAAATGTAAAAACTGATCTGAAGTCAATATGAAGCAATGGGTTTATTTCCTGTCTTTTATTATTGTAAGTGCCTTTTGTTTTCTTTCTATTCTGGCCTGTGCAGGTATGGTTTTCCAACAGACGAGCAAAGTGGAGAAGAGAGGAGAAGCTCAGAAATCAACGTCGTCAGGTGACCAGCTCCTCCAACCATATTCCCATCAGCAGCAGCTTCAACACTAGTGTTTACCAGCCTCTACCACAACCTACGACACCAGGTACTGATGAGGCCATGCACTACAAAACAGCAACTGCTATAAAGTCTTACATTTCTACAGAATCCTAGAAGCATCTGTCTTTGTCACAAAAACAGTCATGTATTTTTGGTTCTTTCATTGATTATTTATAGGTCTTCTGAAAATATGACAAAATCTGCTGAATCAAAATTATACATACAGCAATTCTAATATTTTGTGAAATGTCCCTTGGACAGTTTTACTTCAACTAGGCTCTTTTGGTAGCCATCTGTAAGCCTCTGGTTAAGCTGCTGGTTGTATCTTTGACCACTCAAGTTGGCTTTCTCACACTGACTTATTTTTTCAGCACAGGGGTTGAAGTCAGCACTTTGGGGAGGTCTAATACCTTAATTCTAGCTTGTCATTTCTTTACCAATTTGGATGTGTGTTATGGGTCATTGTCTTGTTGGAACACTCAACTGTGTCCAAGATCAACCTTCTGGCACATGATGATTTTTGGTTTTTGGTTTTCCTGAAGAACATAGGGGTAATCCTCCTTCTTCATTATTCCATTTACTTGTGCAAAGCATCAGCAAAACAGCCGCAGAGCATAATACTACCACTGCCATGCCTGACAGTAGGTTTGGTGTTCTTGGGGTTAAAGGCCTCACCTTCCCTCCTTCAAACATATTTCTCATTGTATTTCTCACAGCACTTAACATAGCAAGGGATAGATCTTACAAATTTAAACAGAGAACCCAACAATCCAAAGTAGCCTTAGGACTCCCTCTGAGCAAGCGGTTGGCAACAGTGGGAAGGAAAAAAACAATGTTGAAAGTGCTTACGACAGTCATCAAATGTTTTGACACGTGCAGAATTTTTTTTGACATTGTCTGATCATATGGTTCCTGATTTAAGGTGTGATTTCTGTAGCTTTTCAATGTGTTTCATTTAGACAAATTCTTTTTAGTTGTGGACATAAAGACAAACTTTTGATTTCCTGTGTTCCATGAAAACAAAAATGTGGTCAGTACTGAAACTCAGCCATCATATTGAGATATAAAATATGTCATGGTTTATATGTTAAGTTATACTTTCAGCAATACTGTACAAAACTCTTGTGTCATTTTTCTTTCCCCTTCACTATCCCGGTCTCTCCAGTATCTTTTTCACCAGGATCCATGTTGGGAAGGTCAGATCCAGTTGGGTCCAATAGCTATAGCCTACCAGCAATGCCCAGCTTCAGTATGGCTGCCAGCCTGCCTATGCAAGTAAGATTTATTTTCACAAGTGCACAGTGCACAGCTCCCTAGTCTGTATGAAAGCACTGCAACATCTAGGGCTCTCTTTTTGTGAACCTAATGGCCCAGTACACCAGTACTACCAAGCTCACTTTGGGTATTGTCATTGATAGGCTGCTGCACCTTTGGTCCACTTGGATACTGAGTGGACCAGAGAGAATACATTTCACACATTATAAATGGCTGTTCAGATAATCTTATCCAGTCATTCCATTCAGACACAGAACTCCTTCTTGTCCTAACATATTTTCAATTATTTAAGTTGAATTGAGATTTTAGAATATATTGAAGATCCTACAATCAGCATGAATTACGTGCGTACAGAATTTATCATCCTGAGAGCCGTCTGCACGAGAATAATTTATCAAACTGACATGTTAGATGTGCACATAACCACAGAGGTTTCTTTTTTTCTTTTTTTTTTTTTTAAAGCCTTTATTCCCGAGGTTAGTGAAAATAGAAAGGAAAGGTAGGGAGATGAGTGGGGAAGGACATGCAGCAAATCAGCCATGAGTTGGACTTGATCCGTTGGCTTTCAGTCCCTGTACATGGGTCACCCACTCTACCTGTTGAGCTCCTGGGGTGGCCCAAAGAGGCTTCTGTGGGTTTTTTTTTTTTTTTACAACTGCTTGGTAAAAACATACAATAAAAGTGGAAAACATCAAATAAAGGGTTTGTGTATTGTTATGAAGGGTGTGTATTCATCTGCTCAGACTGGCTCCGAGCTCAGGGAAGCAATGGGCAGCACAAAACTCAATCTTGATACCATACTGTATAGTGGAATGTGCCAGTGCTAAGATACCAAACAGGCAGAAATGAGGAAAATAACCAGTGTGCTTGAATGATTCCTCATCTTTAACCAACACACTCATCGAGTGAGAAGTGGCATCTTATTGTATGATGGTATTTGACTTTGGTTGAAGCTGAGTTCATGTGTTGATTACAGGTGTTTAAAAATTTATTTAGGAATGTTTGTTATGGGTGAACATGACTCAGCATAAATTATTGTAAACTGAACTTGCTAAATCATATTTCCTCTTTTCCGCTGCATCTTTGGCTACTGACCCATACCAGTCACACCTTACAAGGTTTCATGCAGAATTATTTTTGGTCTGAGTTTGTTGTACAGAAATGACAATTGATTTAGTGATTTTTAAAGTGATTTGCTTATGATTTTAATACAGTTACCTTCTTTCGGTCCCATTAAAATGATCTAACATTACTACTGGTGAGTTGCTCTCTGGGGTATTAAACTCTGCTGTTTTAATCAATAAAATTAATGTATTTTTCTAGGCATCCAACCAGACCTCTTATTCCTGCATGTTGCCCACCAGCCCCACGGTAAATGGAAGAAGTTATGAGACGTATACTCCTCCCCACATGCAGCCACACATCAGCAGCCAGTCGATGACATCGTCTGCAACGTCGTCAACAGGTAGGAAGTCATACAATGTCTTCTGGTAGCTGCTCGACAGACCCTCCCTTCTGCCTGCACTGACAGGATGCAAGTTAATGCCTATCTAGATGGTACAAGAACTATTACAAGTGTTGCCATTTAATGTCAAACTAGACTTTGAAACATGGTGTCATGGGTTTGAATATTTGATTGAGTCTCACAATAATGCTATCCATTGTAATAAGCAGATAAAATAAACGTATATTAGATATGGAAGCCGAGAGCGGTCATGGCCGCACATTTTTTTAAACAGCATTTTCTCGAGATAACGAGATAATTATCTCGTTGACAGTTTCGGCTGTCACTTCAGCCTTCATCAGAAGTTGTCGGACTTCCTGGTGTGACGTAT